GTGACACTCATTAAAAACAGACGTTCCATTTATTCTATGCCACGTCATGGCACAGAGTTTTTCCCAAAATTTCCATTTTTGGTCCCTTGATAAATATTAAGCTAAACCAATATGGAATACAGGTGTTACACGCGTCTTGGTGGCTAAACGCCAAAATAGTCGTGAATTCTCTCGTCGCTAGGTCGTGGCAACAACCTTGCCACATCATGGTTTCGTCATGTTCAACTTAATTCATTAAACTCTTAATCCTTATTTTCAGAGCTCCAAAGCTCAGATCTGGATCCATTAAGGCCATGTATGGATAAAGTTTCCAACATTATCCTTTCTCTAGCCCCTAGAAGCCTAGATCTACAACCCTAACTCAAAAAGGGGCCAAATGACCTAGAAACTCATGCATGGTTGATTTATGACCAAGATACAAACTTTATGGGACCATAAGGTCCAAGAACTATCATAGATCCTATCTAAGGTCCTGGAGTTGCTTCGAACTCCAAGATTCATTTCCAAAAGCCAAAAAGGGACAATATCACATCATAAACAACCCATAGAATGGAAAGGTATGGACTTTATACCTTCTGGAGTCTAAAGATTGATGTAGAAGCAGCCCTTAACAACAACAAGTCACACCACAAGCTTGAATCACCCCTCCTTCTTCAAAGAACCTTGAAAGACCAAGAACACATACTTTTTCACTATGAACACACACACTAGGGTTTCTCTCAAAGGGATAGAGACTGGAGTTGAGAGCAAACCCTAGCTATAATGTTGTTTAAATAGGGCTTAAGGCCCGAAGTTAGAGTTTTCTCATTCTTCCGCCGCCATGTCATGGCCATTGAATGGCCACGTCGTAGCGATTGAAAACGCGCGTTCCTTCATGGAGCGCTACCACGTCGTGGTGAGCCTTATCACCATGGTGTGACACCCTTAGATTAAATAAAAACCCTCAAAATTAAAATGGTTGGATATCAAGAGCAATACCTGGAAATGGATGTTACACCCCTGGTGTGGAACTTTAGGCTTTTGTTCATTTCTTTAGATTGTGATGTTGCTATATCTATTTATTGTGGAAGTCATCTTCTTTTGGAATTGACATTTTTACCCCTGGCGATGACTCTCTAAATGCACATATTTTCGAAAGTGATGGATTGTGATTCAATTGCCCCTTAATCGATGTTTTTTTGGTGTACCCAAGAGCTTATGGATTTAGTTGCCTGGTGGTATTGGTGTTTTCATTATACATATGTTTTAGTATGATGTAGTTGTAGTAGTTTTGTAAGGGGAGTTGATATTTTTCCTTTTGAAATTGATCCATCCACATCATGTACAACATATTTGTAGTTATGATACAAGTCGGTAAAACATATATTTTATGTAGTTGAATTAACTTGTTAGGCGGAAAATATCACCACTTTTACTCTTATCTGTTGTCTAGCTTCCTGCTGACTTTTTAATTTAATTTTCTTTGTCGTTCAAAAAAATGTAATTGTTTTATTATATTGTAATACTTCATTATATTCCAACTCCCGTTACTATATACTCAAATACTCAATACGGTTTATACCATATGTAATATGTACTACTTGATTTATATTTCACAACTGAACATTAATAGTAATACAACATTTTTCTTTCAAATTTGACCTTTCCAAGTAGCTAAATATTTTTGAATAATATTGGATGAGAGTCTAATTAAGACCACGTAAGAACATTCTGACGAGATTGAGAGTTTCGTTCTGATTTGCATATCTTGTACGTTTGTAAATGTACACATAATTAGTCTTAACGAGTGAGAAGTCATACAAAATCAAAACAATCTCTTCTCAAACATATACTAGAAGACCAATTTGGGTATTATTTAATTACGACTAGCTTTTCCAACGAACCACAAGCTTAGATTTATTGACTGAAAAAGTACTAGCTCCCTAGATAGATCCCATGAATGTTGTGTAAATAACTTGCTCCTTATATACTTGTTGATATGAAAATTACGAAAAGAAAGTATAGTAAGTAAATATTAGCGAACTATAACATTTATATCCTTTTCAACCACTTCAGCCCAAAATTTGATCATGGTCTCATGGCATGTTTGTAACGGTTTCGGCTTGTTGGTATGATATATATATATATATATATATATATATATATATATATATATATATATATATATATATATATATATAAAATAACATGATATAAGATGTTCATCTAGTAGTCCAATCTACATCGGCCTTCTAGTATGTGTGAAGACCAAGCAACGTGGTCACACTTGTCAACCCATTGAATACGACAAGGTCTCTTATCCATCATTATCCTCCCTTCTAGTTAAACGTTTTATGAATCTTCATCGATCCTAATACCTCCTTGGTTGTATATATTTCTTCCCTCTCTTTATATATATGCATTCAAAATATAATTCACATAACATTCACAAATTATACCATACAATTCTTCAAGAAAATGAACACCCAAATCTGTAATACCATGGAAGATCATAGCCATGACGCAGATGAAACACTTTCTCTCTCCGACCTTCATATTAAAGACGATGCCATCGATTCAGAAGAAGTTTCTAAAGCAAATCATAGCTCATCGTCTTCCTCCTCCTCCTCGTCGACTTCATTTGATCAAAATTTTTTGGGGTTTTTCAGTGAAGAATGGAGTCGTGATCCATCTTATAATGCTTCACCTGAAAACTTTATTTTTTGTGGGAAAGTAGTTTCTTCAAAAACATCCATTGCCGGAATTAGGAAGACTGAAACCAAGAACCAAGTGAGCCCATTATTTCGGTCAAGTTCTGATTCTTTTAGATTCATGCCCTTGAAAACTGCATCCAAGCCAAGCACTCCGAGGTCAAAGTCATTTCCAAATAGACTGCCAAAATCATCTTCATGCAAGTCAAAGTGGCAGGTGTTTATGTTTGGGTTTGGGTCAGGCAAGTTCCCTACTAAAATGGATATGAGTGACATCAAGACCAGACAATTCCGGCGGAAGAGTACAGTAACCGTGTCTCAGTGGGTTGATGACGGCAAGGACGAGTGCGTTGGCCGGAGAAGCGGTAAAAAGGGTTGGTGGCGGTTGGTCGACGTTCTTGGATGTAGCGGTGGATATGATAAGGACACCATGGTGGTCATATAAACCTTTGTTAATTAATTTGACCGAGTTTGTGTTCGATTTGATCGAGTATAGGTGCAATGAACCTTTTTTTTTTTCTTCTAGTTGTTCGTATAATTATAATTGCAATTTGAGATTATTGGTTTAATTAGATATCTTTGGTGTCACGTGAGATAATTATATCCATTTGTGTAGGGTATCAACTGAAAAATAATTCATGATACATCGCATATATATGATTTTGTCAATTTATCCACATACATGTTTCATATATTTTATATAAATATTATATAAATATATGTACTCATACACATATTCTTTTCTCATTTATAAAACCACTTATATACTTGATAAATTAGTTACATCTTATTATTTTTTTTACCTAGTATTATTATATATTAAAAGCTGTTTTATTTTCTATTATAATTAAATAATCTTGCAGGAATTAAATTCTTAGTTAATTCAAAACTATCTAAATAAGTAGTTATAAAGAACCAAATTAAAATCAAAGTTACAACAAAATGAAAGTGAAAAATAGTGAATTACAATAAATTAGAAATTTTATATCAAAAAGAATATCAAATTTAAATAATAAATAATAATAAAACAATTATTAATAATATATAAACCTGAATATTATATTTTGGTTAAACTCCTGCTTCTATCCACGTGAAAATGTTCCAATTCGTACAGCGTGCAACCCAACCTAAATCTCAGACCATTTCTTTATCCCAGCCAAAAGCCCAAAACAACTACCGACCTCAAAATTCCGAGACCCGACAAACCCCCGTGAGCTTAAATTCGATAAATATGAAAAAAAAGACAAATCATCTAACAAGTATTTATTAATTTTCAACTTTTAGTAAAAAATTAATAATTTATCAAAATAGTCATGAAATTACAAATTGCATTTGTGAAAATCTCTACAATCTGCAAAAATCATATGGGACCTGCAAAAATTGTTTTGGCATTTCAAGGGGAAAATGAAAATAAAATTTATATAAGTGAAAGAATTTTAGAGATTATGAATATGCCCATGGCATAAGAAGCATTGTACTTAATTTGCATATTTAGTTTGATATAGGACTAAGCTTGTAACATTAGCGATAGTTGAACTAAGTGTGTTATGAAGACCAAACATTAAGGACTAAACAAGTAATTTACTCTTATTATTGTTATAAACAAGTGGTGCTTGGGGTGGTGATACTGATAGCCTCTTGTTATTTCTTACTTCTAAGACCACACGCCAATAGGAGCTGGCATTTCAACGCTTGCGCTTCTAGAATCCTAAGACCGAAATGGAATCCTCTATTTCCTATATATGGAAATTTTGAGGGATAATTGATGACCCATGACAGATAATGACGATTGTTTTCAATGTGCTTAAGAAGTTTTATTGATCAAAATTAATCAATGGGCTATAAGCCTATAAGCCTATAACCGTTTCGTTGTGACAAAAATAGGATAACAAGGCTTGTTAAGGAGTAGACCATCTTTAGATGATTCTCGATTATTATTTTCCAATGAACCTACAATTACGATGTTTTAAATCATTCACATTTAGTTAATTTATATCTCTTTTTCATTTTTGTAAGCTTAGTCATCTAAATATCAAAACCCGATCAATTTTCGCCCTTAATTTAAATGGTATTATGTACTAGTTAAATAGAACTGTCTCCATATCATCCGTGTGAGCTGCGTGGTTCTTATGAATTTAAATATATTGAATTATACACCAAATAGTATAAAAAATATCCCACAAAATCACATGCAATATTTTATATGCACATTATAGTTATTTAATTACACATTATATGCGCCACATATTTTTTCCGATTATGTGTATATATACGTGTGCATAATTTTGAAACAAACAAAAGCATACAAGCATGGATATGCATGCAAACGAAGCAAGTGATGATGCCGATGATACTCTCTCCCTTTCCGATCTTCAGATTTACAGTGATCCATCTTCTTCATCCGAAGAACCATATAACAGGAATTCATTGTCATCCTTTAGATTCACAATCGTCAGCACCCCCAGACCGGAAAAGGTTGCTTTGTTTGGTAATTTGATTTCTGTACCTGAAAACGATCTGAAACCGCATCGTAAGGCCCAAAAAACTTCAAGATTCAAAACATTTCCGGTGCAGGGGAACGGCAGTTGTTTTGATGATAGTTTGGTTCCTGCTGCGAGGCCACGGCGGATGACCGGGAGTGGCTTCTTGATGTTCGGATTGGGAAAGTCTCCGACGAGGATGGAGCTGTGTGATTTACGGAGTAGGCAAGCTCGTGGTAGTCCAGCAAGAATTTTTCCCTTTAATGGTGGTGGTGAAGAAGAGGCGACGCCTCGCCGGAGACCTGGCAACTGGTCGGGTAAATTGTTCGGAGCATGCATTCCTATGCTTTGACTTGACTGTCATGTATGTCAGCAGTCAGTTTGTGTCACATGCCGTGTCTATATCGTATATTGTAATTTTCTGTTGCTATAATGCAGATTAGAATAGTGATTTTTGTTCAATTACAAATTCAGAACACGTTTGGACATATTAATTCTTTTTGAAAACAAAATGATAATATAAATAAAAAGTAATATGTTTTGTATGTTAGAAAACAGAGTTTGGCAATCAAGAAACTGAATTTCTTGCGGCTTGTGTAAGTTAGCTATCTGTCACGATCGAGCTTCTAGACTCTTCCGGAATACTCAAGAAAATGGAAGAACTTACAAGTATAGCACATTAGACCCTGGAACGTCCTAGATTTCTCTAGGACATCGAAGAATGATTTAGAACATTTCATGAAGACTTGTAAATATATGTAACTTGGTAGAATAGTCTAGATTAGTCAAGAATATAGGACTAATGTAGTAATATCTAGAAACTTCCCTAGGGGGGGAATGACAAGTATAAATAGGGAGGAGCTTATTTGCTCCAAACCATCGGAAAGTTTCCTTGTATTCTCTCGAGCTCTTATAATAGAAGTTCTCTTTTGTTTGTAGAAACTCGAAAGCCTTATTCTCTTGCTTACTTAGTCGTTTATACATCTCAAGGAAGTGTTGTAGCCTGACTTAGTCGAAGTTACACTAAGTGGCACACGGAAATCGAGTCGTCCCGTGACACGTGGTATCAGAGCCTGGTTCGTAAAGCAAGAGATCATGGCTACGGAAGGAGGAAGTAGTGAAGTAGCAAACCTACCCCCTGTCGTCGAAGAGAGAGGAAGGAAGTCCAAGAAGAGGGACCAATCGATAGATGTCTTGGCAAGCTTAGAAAACAAGCTTACAAGGACAGAGATTAACGTCGGTGAGATCCTTGAATGGAAGGATACCGTCGATCAGTTCGTTGCAGAGATAAGTGACACGAACGATGGATTAAAGGAGACCATCGGTGTCCTCAAGGAAGAAGTCCTTGGACTTGTCAACACCCTGCGGAATGAGTTCCGTGAGAAGATAAGCACTCTAGAAGATGAGGTGAAGCTATGCAAAGCAGCGATAGCCGGAGGATCTATTACGAAGATGATACCACACACAGAAGCACCTAAGCCCTCAAAATATGGAGGTAAGCATGATCCTAAACTACTCGAGGAATTTTTCTGGTCCCTAGAATGTTATTTCAATGCTATCGGAGTAAAGGATGACAAGTACAAAATAGACACGGCCGTTCTGTACTTGAGTGAAAATGCGGCACTATGGTGGAGGCGGAAGCATGGCGACATTGAGAAAGGCTTATATGTCATAGACACTTGGGACGAGTTTAAGAGACAACTCAAGAAACAATTCTGCCCCCATAATGCTGAAGACGTTGCCATGAAGAAACTCCAAGGATTGAAACATGTTGGGTCTATTAAAGATTACGTAGTAGAGTTCACCGCCTTGATGCTGGAGTTACCCGATTTACAGGTTAAAGACAAGTTATTTTACTTCCAAGACAGACTACAATCTTGGGCTTACAACGAGCTCAAGAGGAGGAACGTCCAAGATGTTGACGAAGCTATAGCAGTAGCGGAAGACCTTATGGACTTCCGAAGAGATACCCATATTAGGAAACCTAGTGGGGGAGAGAGACCGACAACAAGGCCGCAACAGAAGGACGATAAACCCGTTGCAAGACCATCAACTTTCAAGGGGAAGGCGATTGAAGGGGGGACCTCGAAGGGAAGTCAAGTGCTACTTATGTGACGGCCCTCACCTAATCAAAGATTGTCCCAAGAAGAAAAGCTTCAATGCGATGGTCTTCGAAGAAGAAAAGGAAGAGAGAGACGAGGCACAACTAGGATCAATGCGACGCCTCAATTCGGTGGCAAAAGAAGAGACCCACACGAAGAAAGAAAGAGGACTCATGTTTGTGAAAGTTAGTATAAACGACAAAGTCACTAAAGCCTTAGTAGACACAGGTGCGTCCCATAATTTCCTTTCTAAAAATGAAGCTGAAAAGATGAACATTCAATACACCAAAGAAATAGGCTGGTTGAAAGCTGTCAACTCTCCTTCCGAGCCTATTCTTGGAGTCGCTTATGGGGTAATTGTCGAGATCGGAGGATGGAAGGGTCCTATCGATCTAACCGTAATACCCATGGATGATTATTGCATGGTCTTGGGGATGGAGTTCTTCGACCAGGTATGCCCTTTCTCGTTCGAAGATCAAACCATGCGTATCACCAAGGATTCAACGATACACATCGTACCCTTGGAAAGAAGAAAAACGGAGTCCCGGATCTTGTCGGCCATGCAACTCAACAAGGGACTAAATAATGGAGAAATGACGTACCTAGAAACGTTAAAAGAAGAAACCACCCCGCCCAACGAAGAGATGCCAAAGATAGTGAAAAAAGTACTAGAAGAATTCAAGGACGTGATGCCGCCAGAGTTGCCAAAGAAGTTACCACCGAGAAGGGAAGTGGATCACGAGATAGAACTCGAGCCCGGAGCTAAGCCACCAGCAATGTGTCCTTATAGAATGGCTCCACCTGAGTTGGAAGAGCTAAGAAGACAATTGAAAGAGCTAATAGATTCCGGATTTATCCGCCCTTCAAAGGCCCCATTCGGTGCCCCAGTCTTGTTCCAGAAGAAACATGATGGAAGTCTAAGAATGTGCCTAGACTACCGGGCCCTGAACAAAGTAACGATAAAGAACAAGTACCCGATCCCACTGGTAGCTGATCTATTCGACCGACTCGGGAGTGCACGATGGTTCACAAAGCTGGACTTAAGGTCGGGTTATTGGCAAGTACGCATAGCAGCAGGGGACGAACCAAAGACGACGTGTGTGACAAGGTATGGCTCCTACGAATTCTTAGTCATGCCTTTTGGATTGACGAATGCCCCTGCCACATTCTGCACTTTAATGAATAAGATATTCCACCCATTCTTGGACAAATTCATGGTGGTGTACTTAGATGACATAGTAGTTTACTCTGAGTCGTTAGAAGAGCACGTTGAACACTTGCGGTTAGTCTTCCAAGTACTCAGGGAAAACCAATTATACATAAAGATAGAAAAGTGCTCCTTTGCCCAACCAGAAGTAACGTTCCTAGGGCATAAGATCGTTGATGGGAAGATCCATATGGATAGCAACAAGAAACGAGCAATCCAAGAATGGGAGCCGCCAAAGAACGTTTCTGAACTACGATCGTTCTTAGGCCTTATAAACTACTATCGAAGATTTATATCCGGATAGTCAGCTAAAGCCACTCCCTTCACCGACCTTCTAAAAAAGAAAGTTTTGTGGGAATGGACTGAGAAGTGTCAAATGACGTTTGATCTTCTAAAGAAAGCTGTCACGGAGGAACCAGTCTTAAAGCTACCAGACTACACGAAACCATTCCAGGTGCAAACGGATGCGTCAGACTTCGCGATTGGAGGAGTGTTATTACAAGATGACCATCCAGTGGCCTACGAAAGCCGGAAACTAAATGATACAGAACGGAGATACCCGGTACACGACAAGGAAATGACAGCAATCATACATTGCCTTCGAGTATGGAGACATTATTTGCTTGGGAGTCGGTTCGTTATCCAAACCGACAATGTGGCGACTAGTTACTTCCAAAATCAGAAGAAACTAAGTCCTAAGCAAGCTCGTTGGCAAGATTTCTTAGCAGAATTCGATTATATCATGGACTATAAGCCGGGAAAAACCAATGTAATTGCCGACGCCCTGAGTCGAAAGGCCGAACTAGCAACCCTCACTCGAGTAACATGCGATTTTGCTGACCGGATCAAGGAAGGGCTAAACCACGATCCGTTAACGAAGAACTTGATGGAAATGTCAAGAGAAGGCAAGACAAGAAAATTTTGGGTCGAAGACGGATTATTATTCACGGTCGGCAATTGAATGTATGTCCTAAGATGGAACAACTTGAGAAGAGAAATCTTAAAGGAATGTCATGATTCCAAATGGGCTGGACATCCAGGTACTCATCGTACGAAAGCAATCATAGAACGATCCTATTATTGGCCCAATATGCGAAGTGACATAGACGCCTATGTGAGGACTTGCCTTATTTGTCAACAAGACAAGGTCGAACAGGCCAAACTGGCAGGATTGTTGGAACCACTACCGATCTCCGAAAGACCATGGGAAAGCATATCGATGGATTTTATTTCAGCATTACCGACGTCTGAAGGGTGCGGATCAATAATGGTGATTGTAGATCGATTCTCCAAATATGGAACGTTTATTCCAGCCCCTCGGGATTGCACAGCTGAAGAAGTAGAGCGACTATTCTTCAAGCATGTCGTGAAGTATTGGGGACTTCCCCGAAGCATTATAAGTGATAGAGATCCTCGCTTTACAGGGAAGTTTTGGAGGGAGCTATTTAAGCTAATGGGATCAGAACTCCACTTCTCGACTAGTTTCCACCCTCAAAACGATGGCCAAACTGAGAGGGTGAATCACTTGCTCGAGATTTATTTGAGGCACTTTGTCAGTGAAAACCAACGAGATTGGGCCAAGCTAATTGATGTGGCCCAGTTTTCATATAACTTACAACAGAGTGAGGCTACGAGGAAGAGTCCTTTCGAGATTGTAACGGGCCAACAACCATTAACGCCCCAAGAGCTAACAAACAGTTACAAAGGATCAAGCCCACCTGCGTACAAGTTTATCAAAGGATGGAACGAAGAACTCGACATAGCAAAGTCTTACTTACACAAGGCAGCCAAGCGAATGAAGAAATGGGCGGACGAAAAGAGGCAGCCAAGAGAGTTCATAGTAGGGGACGATGTGATGGTAAAACTCCCACAAGGGATGTTCAAATCCACCCGAAAGGTACACAAAGGCTTAACACGAAGATACGAGGGGCCATACAAAGTTCTCGAAAAGGTTGGGACCCGATCATACAAGCTAGAATTACCATCCTACTTAAAGATTCATCCAGTATTCCATGTAAGTCTCCTCAAAGCTTACAATCACGA